CGACAGAAACTGGACATGAAATAAAATGGTCTCAGACTAGTAGGTTTGCTGATTATGATACGTCTGCTGTTAAAGAAAGATAAGAGGTTATAAAATATACATTGAATGTGAGGAACGGTTGAGGATCAATTTATAAATGATTGATAGATTGAAGGAGCAAGAGGGTGTTTAACCACCATGTAAAAGGTGATAGATTGAGTAGTTGACCAATTGATTCGCAACCTGACTTACATACTAACGAGCGTACATCTCATTATATCAGTCATACGGACTTGCGTCGTCTCGGTCAGAGCCTTTTCTTAGGTCATTAAGCCTTGATGACCAGTCTGACATTAGCTTTTTGATCAGTCTGATTTACGACCAAAATTGCGTAAATAACTTAACAAACAAACATAAATACACACACACTCGAGCAAAAGTAGCCAGACCAGTTTGAAGGATAACTAGCCAAGTCATTCTATATTTATCTAGATTTTTTATTTGCTTTTGCTTAATTGACTGCGTCAACCTCAACGCCGTATTAACGCCAAACAGCTGCAGTACAACGAAATTCAGCCGTCCACTTCTGGTAAGATCGACCTACTAATCTCTTCATTATGCAATTTCATACGAAATCAAAGTCCCCCTAACTAGTTTCCTAATCCATCCTCTGAAGTGAGTTAAGACAAATATAAACCAGGCTAACAAAGGCCTATCAAAATTACTATTGCTAAGATGACAAATAAGTGTTTAGATTATCATGCGTGGCATTAGCCACTAGAGAAAGTGGTAAGTCGAGCCTAAATGACATAAAATTTGGCGTCATAATTTAAAAAGTGGAAGCATAGAAAAGAGAAGCATACACAAAAAGGAATTCAAAGATATGAAAATATACATAAAGGCAATTGAGCTGGTCGGATAGTCGTGCAGAGGAAAATGTCCCTTGGAAATTAGATAGATAAAACAATATATTATTAGATGGATGCATATATTTACAGGCCTTGGTGCTTTTACACAAAATTAATAAACGGACTGATTTTAACTTAAATACACTCTAATGGGTTCTATTATCCAAAATCGTTCTGCAAAATGTCAATAGAAAGAGACAGACAGAAGAATTCTTAATTGATTTAGACAGACGATGCACAGGTGAAAAATACAGCCGATTACTGAGAGTCAAGTTAGAATGTATTTGTTCTAAAAGATATCCGAAAAATGATTGGAAATGAAAATGAATAAATGGATAAAGGAATCCATTTGAGACCTTGAGACCTAATAGAGATCAATCAATTATTATTTATGGTCCCCAAACGTATGTTGAATTTAATTAAAAATGAATAAAGTTCCTTGAAATCTTTCAGTTAACATTAATATTTTCAGGTGAAGTTACTAAAAAATGTTTCCTTTACTCTAAAATAGTGTGCTTAATATATGCAGTTACGATTTAAAAATTCTTTCAAAAATACCATCTTCACAAAAAGTACTGCTTCAGCCAAAAGGCAACAAATATAGACTATTCGAAAACTAATTAAATAATTGATACTTAAGAATAAGTAAGGAAAGGATGTAGAATTCAGGAATCCAAGATGGCTTAACCTGTTAAAAATGAAATATCGGCAAATTAATCTTAACTAAATCTCTAAGTCTTGTTTAGACAATTTTAAAAAGAGGATGGTAACTAGCCTATTTGCATGATTTATACTAGTGCAAGTGATGCACATAGGCTAGCAACAAAAAACCCAGATAAATTATAGTAATAAGTTTGAATTTACTCACGTGAGTCTCTTTAGCAGAAACAGCATCACAAATTACAGACTCAAGCTTAGGATCCTTCTTATTAATATGATGAAGTGATTCGGGTGAGTAATAAGGTAGCAAACTAGGTACAGTGATAGAATTTACTGACTGATCATTTTCTACCATCTGTTTGCCTACTTCCTTTGTTTTGTAAACTTCCGATGTCGTGACGGAAGAGGAAGAAGATGAGTTAGACGGTATGCGTGAAGAAGTAGGTGTGCATAGAATTATGAGTCGAGAAAGGATATGGCGCATCTGAAGACATGTAACGTCCGCACTGATGATGGCCTGTAGAGTTAAACAAAATATTACAAAAAAGGTAGCAAATCACCATTAGCTAATGTGCATAGATTTAAAATGAACTAAAAGATTTTTCGATGTTAACATAACTTAAATGAAAAATATTAAAAAAACAAATTAGTGTGAAATATCAAAATATCTAGCAGCTAGTGGAATAATTCCATACTTGAAGATAGTTGTCTAGGGCCAGATGGTAGCACACTAGCTTATGACCCGAAATCTGAGACTTTAAGTCCTATTTGGAGTAAGCATATATTGCAGCATACCATTAGTCATTATTAAACAGCAAAAAATTATGCAGACAACTACTAAACTAGATCATGAATATTTAATTAATAGAAATGACGTAGATACGGACCTGGAGAGCAGGCCTGTTGACTAGAGCCAAACTATTAATAAGTCGTAAACCTCGGAGAATAATCAGTCCTATTGATGAATCCAACTCGAATGAGCAGGCAGTGGCTGGTGTCGAGGATGGAGCAGCCGCAGGAGACAAGGTCAAGCCACTACCGGTCGGTTGTGCGGAGGCACTCAAAGCTGTGTAGATTAAGGGAAAACAAGAGGAAGCATAAGCATTTCTAAGACCATAATTAATTTGCTTCAAATAGTACTAGTATACATGTGTTTAGACCCAACCACACTCTTCCACAATACACCGCTACACACTACATGAGCAGATTTACTCGTAAACTCACATAATCTCAAATCCAACCCATGCATTCTGACTGTCAGCCAACTCCATGCTGACCAGTCGGACACTAGCCTTTTAATGAATGGCCAAGAATCTACCCACTCATGCAGAGCCAAATCAAACGGCCTACATCCGAAGCCGATCGTTACACTCCTGGAGGTCTCTCCAAGGCACTATCATCCTCGGGACGACTAGACCCTCTAATGTGCTGCACCCGCCATCCACTAAAGCGAAAAATCTCCTCGCTTCTAACGAAGCGTCTTGCCCCAAGTCGAATTTCGTCTTTACGAAATGCAAGGGGATAACTCCGCCAAGCCAGATCGACAATCAGCCTCTTCTCGAGATTGCAGTCATCTTGCGCTTCTTCCAAGTGCACCACCTTTCCGTGCTCAGTTGATCTGCCCCTTTCGCCTGCATCATTGTACCCTCGCAATAAAGGGACTATGCGCAAACCAAATTCGAATCAGTGCCACTCTTGTAAGCAATATCTTGCGCGTAGCCACATTTTATTTCACGTAGCCATGTGTTACTAGAGGCTTTTTCATCCTGATTGGATTTAAAATTTACACTTTGCATAGGCCTAATACTCTAGCGAGAATGTAAACCGAACTGTGCGCGCCAAGTTTCATTTACTATTAAATGGAGAACGCAAGTTTGCAATAATAAGAAGTCCGAAAACAAATGCAAATTTGATGATATCTCACCGGCCATGAAACTTGCATCTGCATTGTTATACAGTGATACCCAAGGCTGAGCAGCAGTGATAGAATTGTCATTTGACGCGTAAGAACACGGTTTAAATTCAAGTGTGGATTCTAGTTAAGCCTAGGTTAGGTCGAAATTGTGATCCAACATGTTAAAAAAGGGCTAATTAAAGTTTAGAGAAATGTTAAGGCCTGCATACGAAGGGTATCATCAAAGCAGGGCGCCATTCTTACAACTATGTTCAGGCTACAAGTTAATTAAACTCATTGATTTATCCCTAATTGCTACATATATACCATAAATATATGCATTTTAATGAGGTATAATGCAATT